GTGAGAGTCTGGAGAGCTTGGATGGGGCAGTCTCTCAACAGGCGAGTCGGAGAGGACTAGCGCCCACAGCACAGAAGCATGGATAGACAGAGGACTCTGACTCAAGACTCAAGCCAGTGGCATAGACACAAGATGGAGAAATGATCGTAAGTATGTTTGTGAGAGCTGAAGGAGTGGAAAAAGCTTCACTAAGCTCAATGTATTCTGCCGGGCGGAATACCAGCAGGTCATTGCAGATCTGTTGGAGACGGTCATCGCTGCTTCCCTTGGCAATAGTGGATGCTCCTTATCAGAAGCGTGGGCCTTTGCAGCAGCAGCAGATCCATGCAATTGCCTCATCTCTCGCTACAGACACCCGAGACATGAGTGTCCTGCTAAGATCTTCGACATAGGCATGAGTTGCGGATGCCTTCATTGTTGGACTGGGAGACAGAGTGCCATGTGTTGGGACATGTTGGCCGGGGAGGGACTGATACCGTCCAATACAATATGTGAGTATATGTGAGTAGGATGCGTCATATATTGTGTAACTCAAAATCTGCCCCAACAGCACAAAACCAACGACCTTGTTGGATTTAGTTTTTTTTGATTTGCTGTGGTTTGCAGGACATGCCAAAAACCAACGGCAGCATCCAGTGAGTTGCCCAGCTTCGGGAAAGCTTAGTGAGATCATTTTCAGGCTATAAAGGAAGAGAGCAAAGAAACGAGTAAGGAAAGAATCAGAGTCAACGACGACAATATTACAATATATATATATATTATATAATCATCAAACAGGCACTACGAATCATAGACGGGCTAGGCTGAGAAGCTACAGCTCCAGAGCACACTCTGCTTCGGGGGGAGCCAAGCCTGAGATGAAAAGTAGTGAGCTTTTCACACGCGTCTGGCTAGCTTGGCCCGCAGAAGTACGCAAGGAAGTATAAGGAATGGTTTTGCTATAATCTACTGTGAGTGCAAGACACTAGTTGTCGAAAGCGTCTTTTTTGCTTTTCCTTGGTGCAGCGCATTCAATTACAGGTCGGAAGGCCTGCTGCAGTGGCCCGTAGAGCCAAAGAGAGAGGAATGTGCTTCGCAGCTTCCCTTTCGAGGTGAAGTTGTGACCCTCGGCACCTTCCTATGATTTAGCTTCGTTCACGAAGACTTAAGAAAAAGCAGCACCGATGCCAGGCCTTGGAGCATGGCCCAAATCCATGGAGCCCATATGAGCATCCGATAATTTTCTGTGCATGTATTTTATCAATGAGCTGTCTTAAGTATTTATGAATTGAACCTTGCATAACTGATAGGGGCCATACTGATACCCTTGCTTGATTTAAAGTAGCTCATTGCCTGCATTCCAAAACGCTGGAAACCCATAGGGGCCAACCCAAAACACTTTAGCATCTTTTAGCATTGGGGACACAAAGGAGTTGTGAAGGCCACTTCTGTGGCATTTGTTGAACTAATCCATTTCCTTTCTGCCTTTTGCTCAAGGGTTCCAAACTGCGCATTGGCTTCGGTGAAGCGGAAAGGCGGCTCGTTGTGCAAAGCTACTCTCGTTACATTTTGCAGACTCCGGTACTGTTTCCATCCTCACTCCACCCGAAAGATGAAAGGATCATGGTGAACATCCCGAAGACGCGGAATACTTATTGCCGCGCGTGCAAGAAGCACACACCTCACAAGGTGCAAGGGGTCTCAAGTCGTAGATAGTTACACACGCCGCTGCAAAGACCTGAGCACACCAAAAGGATGCGAAGTAATTACAATGCGGTAGGACTCCGTTTTCCAGGGGCGGTCAACTAAATTGACACTGGAAAGGACACTGTCTTGTTTGATTCTTTGAAGATATTGAAAGCTGCAGTATGGAGCACACTTGCTTCAGCCCGGGCCAGGTGTCGCAGTACAAGACTGGCAAGGCTTCTTTGACAGCCCAGGGCAAGCGACGATACGACAAGAAGCAGGTGAGAATGATGTTTGCAGTCACAGCATTGCCTGCATGGCCTTTGCTCGGCCTTTCCAGTCAAGTGGCCTGAGTGAGGCTGGCTTTGGTGGGCAAACGAAGCCAATCTTTCACAAGAAGGCTCATTGCCAGGATGAGCTAGGAGTCCACTTATTTGGAGCAGCCCACTTGCTGCTCACAGAATCCATTATGCAGGCAAAGACCACCAAGAAGATCGTGCTGAAGTTTGAGTGCACAAAGTGCAAGGACATCCTGCCACTGTCAGATTCCCTCTTCCCTTTGCTAGCACAGAATTTGTAGTTGAGGGTGCTGTCCTTCAATGCAGGAGCTCATTGCAATTTACATTTATATAGTTACTCCTAGCTGGTTGTATAGCTTCAAGAACATTGCTGCCCCGCTTGGAAGAAGAAGCGCATGAAGCCCATCAAGCGTACCAAGCACTTCGAGCTTGGAACCGACTCGAAGAAAGGCAGGAAGCTTCCCTGTTTCGCATACTTCATCATATGCCACAGCATCGGCCAAGTTAGAATTTGGAGTTTCTTGTAGACGCCATTTTTGTTCTGAAATCGCGTGCTCTGGTCACCACGTTCAATGTTGAAAGTAGTGAGCAAACCAATAGTGCAGTCGCGAGGTAAGAATGAGTACGGCGGCAAGTACCGATGATAGCCTTTGCTGATTTTGCGCAGACCTGGAGAAAGAAGTTGCCCGAGCGTTCTTTTATGCAGGTGACAACTAGCACCAGCCAAGTCCGTGGCCTTTTATTTACAGTTGCCTTTGCAGTTGTGTCAGTTGTTGTAGTTGTGGGCATGCGAAGCCACGTTCAGTTGCGAGGTAATAGTAGAATAGCAGCTGATATTGAACCTTTGCTGCTTCTCGTTGCCAAGACTTCTCAATTGCACTACGCAGCAGTTCAAGCAGACACCCAGTCAGCATGGTTGACACACTGGCTGAACTCAACTGAGCCAGCTCAATCCCAGTCCAGAATTTGTACTTTGCCTTTATTGCTGGAGGCAGTTAAACATGTTTTTTCAACCAGTCTTTTTATATCCTTGGCCACTTGAAATCTGAAACCCGAAGACACTGAAGCTGAGCCCTCAGTTGCCACGTGTGATCCCATGAGACATCATCAACATCACGGTGATGAAATGCAAATCACCGCTATGACTATGACTGAATACCCACGAACCTGAACGCCGACCTCAAGCTCTAGGTGTACAGTATGGGGTGGGGAGCTGCTGTGTCGGAAGGCCTCTCTGCTTTCACCCTCCATCTTCTTGCCCTTGGCGGCTGGCTTATCCCTTGGCCTTGATTTGGGCCCCGCCTTTGGACTTTGGGCAGCCCCGTTCCTCCTTGGCCTTCAGCCTGTGCACTCGTCTCCGACTCAGTCCTTTCCTGAGGAGAGGTTGCGCCGGAGGACCGCAAACCGGCTCCAGACCAGCCTGATCTTCGCGCGGGAGAGGACTGACTCTCGCCTTGCGGACCCAGAGTTCAACCAGTCAGGAAATGGCTGAGGAGGTTCAAGGGCAAGTTCTTTGCCTGAGGCCTCAGACCTCAGACATCTCAAAGTGGGAATTTTTGGAAGTGGAAGACGGAAGAGTCATTCCAGGAGAGGGCAACCTTTTGTTTTCAACTTCGGGGACGGGCCCCCAGACATTGCGTTGTTTTGCATCACGCTTGACTTCGGAAGATCGGCTTTTGCAGCTGGTCATTGGGCCAGAGCTTTTTGGACTAGCCGCGTGCCCAATTGCAGCATCTATCACCCTGAGCCACCTATCATCCTGAGCTTCCAGCTTCTTTTTAGATTCTTTCGCACGGGCCGGGATTTGACCTGGTGGGGACTTCGTTACACAGAGATTCAGATCGACTTGGCGGGGAGTTCGCGAACGTCGCTTCATTGAGAATGTGTCTTCATTGACCGAGCTGCGGGTCTTTGCGCAGGAGGCAAGGGTACTACCTTCCGCCCTCAACCTCGTTCAGTACGTTCCCCTCTACTTTCATGTTTCCAGGGCATAAAACGGAAGCCGTGGGGCGTTGTTCCTGTTCAACACTTTGGCTACTTCCATACAAGTTTCTGTGCATTCTCCTCCGGGGCAAGGAGAACCCCTGTTTCAGCCCTGACAATGTGATGGAGGCCTGCGGTCCCGATCTGTAGCAGGATGCCCAACGGCCTTTCTAGCAGCAACGAGGATCTAAGTATCTTGGCAGAGCTTTTGATATCACGCGTATGGCTTTGAAGTTTTGGTATGCAGGCCGAGAGTTCTGCAAGAGAGCTTCTTTAGGGAACTTAATTCTGCCCACCTTCGGCTTTATATGCAACAAACTTTGTTCCTTTATCAAGGCGGACGGCTTGCGATTGAAGTTTTGACATGCTCGGCGCAGGTCGGTCGCAAGACTTTCCATCCTTACCTCCTTATTTGTGAGAGTTGGTTGCTCGTCAGCCCTCCAGAAGGGAAAGCATTGGGGCATGAGTGAGCTGCAGCAGTTGAAGCTACCTTGTCGGGGTTTTGAGCGGATCTTTTTGGTGTTTAAGAGGCCTGTGATCGGTTTGCTCAATGTATGAGGATTGGCCCGACGCAGCTTTGATACCTGTGCTCGCTGTGCTTTGGTTGTTGCAGACATTGCTACGCTACGTGTCTGAGGCGCTTTATGCATCGGGCACTTCTGAAGAATGGCGGGCCGTTGTATCTACGCCCCACAGACTCACGCAGAAAGTTGCGCTCCATGATGAACTGCCGGAGGAGGAAGTCAAGCCGAGACTAGACCCCTAGCTACTAGTATTTTCTCTTGAATTCATGTTGTGTTGCTGTTGAAAAAACTTTTGGGTCATTTTGAACTTGTTTGTGGACCCGCGTTGGATCTCACCAGCCTCAAGTTTTCGTGGTGGAGTGGCTTTTCCATTTGGTGGAGAGGCCCTTTGTGGGGCTTCTTGTTGCAACCTCCATGTACGTGGTGTGCATGGTTGTGCTGTGAACCAGCTAGCGGTGGGATCTCTTCAACTTCTCCGGAAGGCCTTCCTGCGCTGTCTTTCCGGAGCTCTTGATAGGCGCTTCCCTGCCAAGACCAACGCCTTCCAACGTATCAGGCTTTACAAAGGAGCCTCCTTTGATTAGAGTTGACTCTTGTTAGTTTGGGTCTATACACCAGAATTTCCAGGTCTTTTCAAAGCTTCCTGGCCACCTTCTCAATTCTCACCCAACGATTCTACGGGCTTCAGAAGGTTGATACCTTGGTGTCCATTGAACTTTCAGGAGTTGACAAGCTCCCAAAGTGCTGCCCATCATGACCTCGTTGCTCAGCTGATCGTCGCAAGGCCATCTATCACCAAGGCTAAAAACAACCTCGGGCTTCTGCGCAGCCAGAGTGCTTGGACAAGCAGCTGACGGAGAGCTCGATATGGCTGACTTGGCGCGCGGGTTTTTGAGTGGGTGTGCCTGGGAATCGTCTAATCAAAGCTCGCGCTTCCATGTTCACACCCAACACCCCGGCGAATCCATGCAAGACATGGCTGTGCCTCTCTCTCTCTCTCTAGAAAGATGGGTCAAACTGGTTCGGTCTTGTGCTCTTGATCAGGCAAATAGAAGCACTTACCGCTTTACCAGTGCCGTCCCCCGACTTTGACTCAATGGATTTCGACTCCATCGGGCGAGACTCCTGCGTTGCTCTTACGGTATGTGGGCGAGATTAGATTTGTTGTGGGCGTGGGCCCTGCAAACAGTACGCTGAAACCATAAACTGATTGACTACAAGGAAAGAGCGCGGAGAAAGCAAAGGCAGGGCGTTGGGACCTTGCCTACTCTCGGACGGCTTCCAAAATGGCAACTTCTCCTAGCCATGGTTACGACGTGTTTGCTATGGCCCTTGTGCAAGAAAGGGAGAAGACATAGATCTCCAGCAGGCGCCCGCTTAGCCAACACCCCTCCCTGCCTGTATATTGTTGCTTTCGGGCACCTGCAAATGCCGACCAAGTTGCTCCTCCTGCTCGCAGGGGCTCAAGTCAAGCGCTCTCAGATCTCCATGCTTTTTCGCCGCAGATTTGCCCTAGTAGCTGAAAGCAGTACTGGCCCTCGCTGGTCTTTTCCCTGAGGTGTGGATGGTGAGGTTCTCGATATCCGATACCCCAGACTGTGTGGAGTTTCTTCTATCAACGCAAAGAGCCTTGGTTGTATGGGTGAAGTGGGCTTGAACTGCTGCCAATGATGACAGCCTGTGCACTCCATGAAGGACTGAAAGAGTCCAAGAAGAAGCTGAGTTGTTGACTGAATAACCTGAACGCCGACCTCAAGCACTCCCGATGCCCACCCGCCCAATAACCTGTTACTGTTGGTTGAGTGTCCGTGATGACAGGCTGTGCCATCCATGAAGGATGGGAAAAGTCCGAGCAAAGCTGAGTTGTTACATATGTATATACACATATTAAGACATACATACAGTATATGTATCTATATACTGTATAAAGGCAGCTGAAGCTTTTTGAGCTGTTCGAAACAATTGTGAGGCTGTACGTGCCATCAACTTCGTATGGCTTCACCCAGCGAGTGGGACACTCAGGGCAAGTGCGTGCGCGCAATGATAAAGCAAATTGAAAGAGGTTGTGGAACGAGCGCCGCTGCACAGGCAAGCTTCATGCCTTTCTTTTGACGCGAAAAACCATGGCTAGCCTACTAGATTTACATCAACTTGGGAGGCATCGGTTGGGTCAAGCTTGACACCGATCGTCAAAAGCCAGCTCAACCAGATGGACTCTTGGCTGCAATGATCCTCGTCGCTCTCAACACAGCATTGCAATGGCACATCCATGTAGCAAACAAATTGAACATATCCCCCGCTTGTATTTATGTGCGTTTTTGCAATTTGAAAACCGCCACAAAGGGCACTAAATTTGTGGTGGAACACTTCCAAAACCCATACCCCCGGTCTATGGGGAGAGGATTGCTAGCCTATCCCGGTCACCTGATGGACGGGATTCAATGCAGAAAAATCTATATATATGAGTATTTTTTTGTGGCCGGAGCTCAACGCACTATTCCTGAGCAACTACAGGCACGAAGTTGGAAAGGCTAGCTGTTCGGGATGGATTTGGCCTTCTCCAAGAGCACTGAACATAATGTTGGTTGTCTGAATCGCAACAAACATCCTAACGTAAACGTTTCCTATTGGAAAACTTCAAGAGGTGTTCTCCACAGCAAGAACACAGTAATTATATACCTGACTATTCAAACTATGCCGCATGGATCCTTGACCCTTGACCTGGGGTGGGGGATTGAATTCTTTAAACGACTTTACCTTGATGCACAAGGTAAATCAAACTGTACCTCAGATGTACTTCGAGGAGTTGTACCCCTATGACTTGGCACTGTTGAAAGACTTTGTGCATCTGGAATTGCGTACTGAAGTTGGGGCATTCAAGTGTCAATGGTTCCCAATCTTCCAAAGCACATCTCAAAGAAAAAGTAGATAGACTCAGATAGACACACTTCCGAGGGAGTAGTGCTGCATGCACAGCAAGTGGTCTACATGGTTAAAGCAAGCAGAGTTGATTTCCAGCCTATGATGTCATAGGCCACGAAAAGAAAGAACGGAGAAAGAGCAAAGGAGATTGGATGGGAATGTGCGCTGTGTAGCGTTGGCGTAATGTATCGTGTGTGATGTTTCGCAAAGTCTCGGGAACGTGTTCTGATATGTCTCAACAGTTCAAGACAGGAGCATGTTCCAACAGAATCAAGCTGCAGCAAAATCAAGACTGCTTCAAAACGGCTCTAACACTACTTAAAAGTGGAGAAACATTGAAACATGGCATTAGCGCTCGGCGCTTACACAAAATCAGGAATTTGTTCTAGTGACAACGGGACCCAAAAGGAAAAAGATAATCATTGCAGGTGTGTCAACCCGTCCCGGGTGGATGTTTCGGAGCAAGCACAGCTGTCTTCGTTGGCAGAAGGTTGACCACCATTTCTTGGGGATACACACAAGGCGCTGTCCGTGCTGATGCCGCCCCACCCGAAGTCCGATGCATAGGCGAGGACAAAGTTTGAGTGGAGACCACTTCTTGCTCGAAACTGGTGTGGCCAGGGCAGTCTGATTGTCCACAAACGCCTCATTAAAACACTGAGTGGCTTTCGAACCTGAAGCCATTCGTTATCGGAAGACATGAACAAAGCGACATGACACCGGCCGCTGTGGAGGAAGAAGCTTCCAAGGCAGTTCGGGGCTCCAAATCTTTGCGAACCGCTGCAAAAGACCTCACGGAGTGACCGCCTGAGTGGGTTCTCGACTCAGGTTGTGATCAGCGGGCCGGGTGGTCGGAGGTGGGGTGGGCCTTCGGACTTGGAAGAGAGTTGGAGTGAAGAGAGGCGACGGCCAAGAGCTTTAGAGGATTTTCTTGACCGAAGCGATTTCTGCACAACGATGCCCAATCAAAAGAGGCAACACAAACAGTGGCAAAACAAAACATCTGAAAACTGTTCATTCCAAGCAGTTTTCTTCAAAGGGCTTCCTACTTCTTCTGATTCTGCATACCACTCACCTCCAGAGGTGGATGATCATACCTGGGCAGTGGTTTGCGGTGGCACATTCCGAATGATGATGCACAGGCTCCGCCTTTGCCACGTTTCCAAATTTCTTTTGTTCTGGTCAAAGATTGGAGCTCATCACGAATCTTGCTGTCTGTGAGGAATGTGAGGAAACATATATATTGTGTATATATATATATGTATACACATGTGTACACATAGCGCATAACATACTCCATTTGCCGTTTTATATTTGAATGTGTCTTGACTGTGCACTGAGCATTGGGCAGACCTAGCACGGTGGCAGAGACCGATCCAATTCAGCCTTTGCTTTGGCAGTGCGAAGGCTGGAGGAACAGTTGAAAAATGCAAGAACCGGCGCTGTACGATGACTTCATCATGCAGTCAGATGGAATCGATTCTTGAATGCTTGGTATGAGTATCACTATATGGCAGCATATCTTTGGCAGCTTCCCATGCGTTTATCCGAAGGCGTAAGCTTCCGCATTGAACGGGTACCTCAACAGCATGAGGCCAGGTCTTGCTGAATGCTTGTTGATGCTGCTACCTTGTGCTTGTCTTGTACAGCATGAGAAATTGCAAGGCACCTGTGCCATCACAACGAGAGGTGTGAGGGAAGGGTAATTTCGTGGGCAAGTGGCAGCCGAAGATGGGCCTAGCCGCCTAGCATCGCCTAATATCGCCTAGCATCGCCTAGCCAACCCAGTTGTGCAGCTTGTATGTGCAAATGTCCCAAGACGGAAGGCCAGACTGGAGTCGACAGAAGCCGTTGGGCCGTTTGGCCGTTCTGTCATTGGATGCTATTAACCGAAGCTACCGACTAGACATGGACCGGCAAAAACGACTAGACATGTGAGTCATTGCTGACCAACAAGAGAAAGACAGGGCTGCTGCAGATGCTGCAGGCACACAACGCACACAGCAACGAGACCGACATAGAAGATGTGACCGTGGAGTCAGAGGAGGGAAGTTTTTTCATTGGTGATTTTCGGAAGCAGAGTCACCACATGAGAAAGTAGAATCATGTGTCATCGTAGGGCAAAATGCCCGTAGGCGTGAAGCATTTCAAGCGCTATTTTTTTGCTTTGCACAGAGGACGTTATGGCTCATCTCGCTCGAGGAACACTTGCAGTAGCATCACGCGGCTTTGTTGCATCAGGACATCCATATTTTGGCAGAGGGAAGAGGAGCCCTTCAATAACTTCATTTGTATTGCCATACTGTCATGGAAGGTGATTCTTGGTTCTTTGCTGTGCCTTTATTTGACCATGACAATTTGCATCTCGGATCCGACGCGTACCCGAGCAAGATAGATCTGCGTCTGACAGGTGCAAGGGCAATTGTCACATTTTGGGGTTCAGAACGCTTGGAGCTCAGCCTCAATCCTGCTAGCAGCAGCCCGATTTCTGAATCTTTCTTTTAAAGGCAGTGAGGAGGCTAACAAGTAAGCCAAATAAGTCGCTGGGGTAGCTGCTAAGCTTAAGTAGCTTCTTAGACACTAGGTTCAGGCTATGGGAATTTCTTGTGCTGTTGTTGCGGTTGTAATCAATACTGACGGTATATACTTTGTCAACTCAGATGCTTTTGAGGCTTTGCTGTTCCGAGGCAAGAGCCCACAGAGTCTTTCTCCAGGCTCATTCGCCATGGACGTAGCAAAGGCTTCGAGACGCATCTGTGCCCAGGCACGATGGGCAGTTCGCACCATTCCCTTCCTCCTTTCCTATCCTTTCCTTCCTTACTATTTCCCCAACAGCGATTGACCTATTGACCTGGCGGCTCGGTTCCTTCAAGCTTAGGAAGCATCTCCAGCTTTGTCGTGCCTCTTCTGGTAGGTTACAAGCTAAGATTCCATGGAGGTTCTGGAGGTTCAAGGTTCTTCATTGCAGAAGGTTCCAAGATAAGGCCCAGGCAGGTTGAGCGAGGTTAGTTTCGTGAGCTCAAAGTGTGTGGTTCGAGCAGGTCCCAGTTTGGCTGCTGCCGATTCTATTCTATTCTATTCTATTTTCTTCTATATATTCTATTCTATTTCGCTGCCTCTCGTTGGTTTCTTCGTTGACGTTGATGTGCGTTGTCATAGACCAATTCATCGCTTGCACAATCTCATTTTTTGTATCGGTTTAGTTTCTTGTGTACTTACTACCTTACTGGTTGTACCCGAGTCCCAGACTGGAAGGCATAGGGGCACGCCGGGATCATTGTGCAAGCTGGCTGTGGCATGTTCCAGCTTTCAAAAGGTAGCAGTGGGTTTCAGGAAAAACCAACCGAGCAGCTCCCAGTTGATATTGCCAGCTGCGCTGCTGCTTTTATGTCCTTTGCCTGAGCGTGTGAGGCAGGAAAAATATCTCGGCGGTCTGTCGAGCAGGCAGACGCTGAAGCACGGATGATTGAGTTCGGTACGTGCTGGCATACTGCACTGCACAGATCTACAAGATGAAATGAGATGTTGGGTCCCTGGTACAATGTAATACTGTTCCTTTCCAGTCCTCTCAGGAAAAATCAGAAGATTTGGAGTTGGGAAACGGTATATCATAAGAGAAGAACGGCATTGTATGGCAGGCGAGACAAGTCGTGTTTTTCCCTCTCCGCAACGACCTCAGCATGTCCCCCAGAAGCAATGTTCAGCTTCCAGACGCAGATTCAAGGACTTTACGCCGCTTCTGGTGCGTCTGGAGCTTGAGCCGTAAAAGTTGAAGCTTGCAGCTTGTGGGCGTTTGTTCGCGGAAACTCTGAGCTTGAGCGTCTTGAAAATAGGGCTTTTTTTCTATTTTGCTTCTGCTACAGCCTGACAGTGACAACCTCAGGCCAAAGACGGGACAAGATCCTTCATGATCCTCTTGAGGGGGAGTGGAGACAGTGCAGCGACTTCCTGACAAACCTTGGAAGTCCTATTGAAGGAAGACCTTTTAGGAACTGCTGACAATTGATGGTTGAAGCCCGACGAAACTTACTGTACATTCGAGATACCTACATACACCTGAAATAATCAGAACGCATTGAAGACTTGCATAGTATAACTACTACCAGTCCGCAACCACAAGGGCTTATATATATATATATATGTATCCTTTATGTGACTGGACACGTGAGGCTGGTACAAACTTCCAAGGTGTAACTTTTGTGCATCAGGAAGTAGATGTCCGTCTTTTCACCCATTGGCCCAATTCGGATGTCGACCTGGCCATTCCGGCCATGCCTGGTCAGATCGTATTTTCGACTGACCCAAGAGCTCCAGCTCCAGAAGCTCCAGAAGCTCCAGAAGATCAAGCTCAGAATGCTAAGGTATGTGCTTCTGATGACTGTAGATGTTTTGAGCTTAGTTTACCTTTTCAGACCAGAGTTACAGAATGCAATTTCCCGAGCTAAAGTGAGCTTTGCCGCTTTGCCACGATCCAAGAGCAAGACTTGTGGCAATCCTTTCAGACCAGTGTGTTTATGCTCCGAAGTCAGACATAATATATACATTGCTGCCATGAATCAGTGTTCATGAAAGCTTACAGTAAACTTGGATATTGCGGAGCATTTCGAGCACCCGAACGGTTCAAGTCAAGCGGACAGAAGAGCAGCCAGAGGCTTAGTGCATATACTACTCAGTGGTTTCTCTATTGTACAGAGAGGCTGAAAAGTTTGAGAGAAACACAAGCACAAACACACACACACACACACAAACACGCACAAACACGCACACAGACACGTGCGCGCACGCACGTGTACCCCTAGACATCATGTTTGGATCGCAGATAACTATTTACTGTATAGTATTTTATAGTGACTTTGTGCATGAATATGGGAACTCTGGACTTTTTGGCCTTGTTGAGTCAGCTTGGTGAGCTCGGTTCTTGTACGTGGCAGAGCTGTCGCAAAAAAGCTGACAACTTCTTTTGATCGTCATTGGTGCTTTGGAACAGCGGCTTTGGACGAGCACAAGGGCAGGTGTCTTTTCCAAACAAAACCGGCCGGACATTGCATCTAGCACATCGGTCCTTGTGATACTTTGACTGGAGATAGCTGATATGTGGCTCTCCCACATGTCACTTTATTGTCCTTTGTTTTTGAACCAAAGTAAGCACTGACCAACATCTGGTTACCGTTGTTTGTTTGATGGAGTGCTCAGGAGCTCTCATGCCACACGGTTTTGGTTGGGTGTACTTGCCAGGAAGAGAAAGAGTCTCTCTGAGAGAGAGAGAGAGAGAGCTCAGAGAGAGACAGAGAGAGGGGGAGGAGAAAGGGAGAGAGAGGGAGAGGGAGAGGGGTGGGGAAAGAGGTAGAGTCACAGAGATGCTTGCAGCAGAAAGCCAGCGCAGTGTTTCCCAAGGACTGCTGATGTTTCTCGACACTCCCGTGTTTACCTGGATAGGCAAAGAACAAGTCACAGATGTTGAACCTGTTGACGTGGCGCAAGCGAGCTCCCTTCCTGCGTTTTGCTCAAGGGTTCCAAACTGCGCATTGGCTTCGGTGAAGCGGAAAGGCGGCTCGTTGTGCAAAGCTACTCTCGTTACATTTTGCAGACTCCGGTACTGTTTCCATCCTCACTCCACCCGAAAGATGAAAGGATCATGGTGAACATCCCGAAGACGCGGAATACTTATTGCCGCGCGTGCAAGAAGCACACACCTCACAAGGTGCAAGGGGTCTCAAGTCGTAGATAGTTACACACGCCGCTGCAAAGACCTGAGCACACCAAAAGGATGCGAAGTAATTACAATGCGGTAGGACTCCGTTTTCCAGGGGCGGTCAACTAAATTGACACTGACTATTGGAAAGGACACTGTCTTGTTTGATCCTTTGAAGATATTGAAAGCTGCAGTATGGAGCGCACTTGCTTCAGCCCGGGCCAGGTGTCGCAGTACAAGACTGGCAAGGCTTCTTTGACAGCCCAGGGCAAGCGACGATACGACAAGAAGCAGGTGAGAATGAGCTCGTTGTTTGCAGTCACAGCATTGCCTGCATGGCCTTTGCTCGGCCTTTCCAGTCAAGTGGCCTGAGTGAGGCTGGCTTTGGGGGGCAAACGAAGCCAATCTTTCACAAGAAGGCTCATTGCCAGGATGAGCTAGTGTCCACTTATTTGGAGCAGCCCACTTGCTGCTCACAGAATCCATTATGCAGGCAAAGACCACCAAGAAGATCGTGCTGAAGTTTGAGTGCACAAAGTGCAAGGACATCCTCCCACTGTCAGATTCCCTCTTCCCTTTGCTAGCACAGAATTTGTAGTTGAGGGTGCTGCCCTTCAATGCAGGAGCTCATTGCAATTTACATTTATATAGTTACTCCTAGCTGGTTGTATAGCTTCAAGAACATTGCTGCCCCGCTTGGAAGAAGAAGCGCATGAAGCCCATCAAACGTACCAAGCACTTCGAGCTTGGAACCGACTCGAAGAAAGGCAGGAAGCTTCCACTGTTTCACATACTTCATCATATGCCATAGCATCGGCCAAGTTAGAACTTGGAGTTTCTTGTAGACGCCATTTTTGTTCTGAAATCGCCTGCTCTGGTCACCACATGCAATGTTGAAAATGGTGAGCACATCAGTAGTACAGTCGCTGCTGGAGGTAAGAATGAGTACGGCGGCAAGTACCGATGAGAGCCTTTTGCTGATTTTGCGCAGACCTGGAGAAACAAGTTGCCAGTTGCTGCCAGGCACTTTTGTGCACATGATGTTTAGCCAGATCCAGCCTGGTTTGCGTGCAAGCTCCTTCCGCTTACATTGATAGTAGCCGTTTTGGGCAAGTCAAACACGAGCAGGAGAGGAATAATTTGGCGTTTGATGGATTGACATCTGATATTGAGGGCAATGTCTCAATATCCCGAGATGCCAACACGAGCCAATTTCAGCCCGCACAAATCGGTTGACTTCTACTCAAGAAGGATTCTACGATGGATTTGGCACATCTAAGCGGATCACAGAGGTATTTAGCTCAGGCTGGAAGGATTTTGCATTGCTGTTCTTTTGATTGTATTTTGACCATTGCTGGAATGCCTAGGCAAGGCCTCATCCGTACATTTGTGGAGGCAAACTTGCTGGAAGGCGGTGTAGGCAAGGTCACTGAAAGCAGACCGCATATCATATATATATATATAGGTGCTGAACGTCATGGTCAATGTTTACAGCAAGCCTTGGTCCCGACAGCACATCAACTGCTGACATGAGCTTATCAACGCTCGAAGTTCAGGTCCTTGTGCACCTGAGCTCCTTGCTTGAGTTTGGATATGTTTGACGTTTCAAGACGAGCAAAAGGAACAGCGGGAAAGAAAGATGGACAACGGAAAGGTCTAGTCTATAGGCTCTATTAAAGAAATATATAGAGCATTTTTTAAAAAGGAACACATGTTGTGTGGTTGGAGTCCGTGGACCAGACAACACTTTGCCTTTGTGATCGATAATTCTGAGGTGGACTGTTTACAGGCGTGCCTTCGAGAACATTGAGGAAAGAGCTTTGGGTGTCCTTCCGATAGCGGACAAAGATGCATTGTGCCATAAACAGAGAAATCACAATGAATTGCATGGTTTGGTTCCCTACGCAGGCAGGCCTTCAAGCGCTCAAGATGGCGGAATGTGAGGGTCGCACAAAGGCATCGGAAATGAAGCAGCAAGTGTTTGAAAAATACAAGCATGTTTTCTTTCGATTTCATTGGATGCTTGGTCAAATTTCGGCTGACACTTTCACGGTGACCCCTTTTGGCCAGGTTTGGGGAATTTCCACTCACGAATTGACCAAAGCCATTTGGTTGGCTGAAGAGGTACGGCCACAGCAGAGCACGGCAATGCTTTCGCAGCAAAGCCTTTGCCAGGTCCACATTGACCAGGAAACATTGGGCGATGTGAGCCTGCAAAGCTTGGGGAGGTCCAACTCAGTCAGGTTTGTCAAAGCTCTTGAGTGCTCGGCAGCCTTCTGGCACTACTAGGCGCCAGGCAAGCATCAAAAGAACCGTTTCCTCAAAGTGGGAGGACTGCTCTCGGGGCGTCACACCCTTGCAAGCCTATGCTTGTGTTTTTTGCTTGATGGTGTCACACATCATGGGAAGAAAACACACATAATACAATTCCGTCCAGGTAATCCTTGGAATGACTTAAGCTGCAGGAACGTGCTAGAAGGCTGATTGGAAAGCTCAGGAGCTGAAAGACGAGCCCTTTTGCTTTTTTCTTAGAAAGCTTTCTTTTGGCTTGGAGGCTCGCTTTAGGTCTTTAGGTCATTTATAGTTTTTTTTCCCCTTTCGCTTTCAATAATTTGGATATTCAACTTTACAGGAGCAGTCCAAGGCCCTTCTGGGGTGTCAAAGACAGCCTAATGAATTGCTTTGTGGGCCGTAGTCCTAGCGTTCTGTGGAGCACAGCCATTCATGCGTCCTTTCTCCGTTCGTAGCGATGCCCTTTGTTCCTAGTAGCGTCCTTGCTCCTAGTAGTAAGGCCAGGAGCACCTAGTAGCGTCCTTGCATCATTCAGGTCTGCTTGCTACATTGAGTTTGGGGCTCAATGAAAAAACGTATTTTGTGCAAATTGCAAATGCCACTGGAACAACTCACCGGAGGTGATTGAGGATGGAATCCATGCCTCAGATTTGAGGATTTGCTCGGGTTTTACTACAGAGACTTTCGGGCCCTTAAGTGTTTAAGGCAGGTGATAGCATCAGAGATTTAAGTGCTCTGTTGGCCTGTTGGGCAGTGTTGTTTGTCCAAAGGACTGACAATCTGCCAACGATGCGCTCCAGTCGTACCAAAGATATTTGTGGAAGTGTCTGGTTTTGCCCTTGTACTAAGTTGTATTGTTCGCTGGGGCTCTTTCTCAGAGAAAGCATGCACCAGTCACCAATCCTCTGTTTCTTTGGAATTGGCTTACAGAGGGACCTTTGTTGAAGCTTTGGTCCTTTGGCGCAATGGGGGCTGTGGCCTTGAGGCAAAGTCCACAGACAAAACACTAAAGCACAGACCTGTGAAACATGGCAGTATGTGACACTCATGAGAGTTTTAGGAACAAGAAGCTACTAGGGCTCCTGGCCTTACTAGTAGGAGCGAGGACGCTACGAACGGGGCTCCTGGCATCGCTACGAACGGAACAAGGTTTGCTACTATGTGCTTTGTACGACAATCCGTCTGAGGTCCCCAGAATCGACTCCTGCACCGGCGCCGGTCTTCTACACGAAGGCACTGAATATATTGGTTTCCAGGGCATTTACCGGAAGCCAGATGAAGGAACAGGCAAAATCTGGGTCTGTCTTTGCCGAGGAATTTATTGAAAGTTATAGTGCAGAAGCTGCTGAGACCAGCGCTGCGCAGGACCGGCTTGGTCATCAGAAAGTGAAGCAGTGACAAGGTATAGACATAGGGACACGACTCTAGCCTTTCCAGGTGCCAGCAGCCGCTGCGGTTGTGTTGGTTTCCCAAATGAAGTGGTTTGTAAATTGAAAGAAAAGGAGGAAAAGAAGGTGTTTAGTGTTTGGCCCCGTTTAATAAGGTTCCCTTCAAAGGGGGTCTTATTATTAAAAGGACCCAAACACCTTCTTTTCTTTTCTTGAACATCAGGAGTGTGCAGCTTTGCCTAGGCCAGAGCAGACTGTCGGTGAGGCAGATCTGAAGGTCGGATGCGAGCCCAAGCAAAGCATCATGTTATGGGACACTGGAAGCAACAAAGCACGTCATGGATGAGGATTCGAAGAATGATTTACAGAATGCATCAGCAGTTGTTATTCTTCTGATGACATTAGCTTGCGGTTTAAGGCTGAAGAGAAACACGGCAGCTCTCACATGTCTCATGGATATTATGTAATGAAGTATATATGTATGTAATCTTATGTACACAGTATAAGCTTTAAATCGCTTCGGAGACTCTTCATTCCAAAGGTGAGTAGCTGAGTAAAGTGTAGAGGTTTGCACACATTGAGATTCATGAGGCAGTGCAGAGCACGCCACAACCAAATGGGTGCTACAAGCAAAATCGGACATTCGCTTGGGCTGAATTCATGAGATTGCCATGACCATCCGTGCAAGAGCTGGTGCTCGGGTCAAGGAAAAGAGCGCTTTGAGACTTGCATACATGCCTGTGCATCTCCTTAAGCCTGGCGATCGGCAAGTCCTTCCAGGAGTGCTCTGGGGAATTCGAGGTTGCCAACTTTCCCGTTACTTGTGCGGCAGCCTTACGTGTGACCATTGAGCAAAGCTTAGCCATCCAGTCATTTGGCTCTAACATATTACATTTGTAAGCTTTTTTAACAGTATAGTATGTACTTGAGTCCTGAGTCAAGTGCAATATCCTGACAGCTTTTGTGCTGTGACAGACAGGCCACGACCAAGACGGTGTCTGAGGGCAAGCAGGTCAATTGTCTAGATCGAATGTCCTTTCTACATTGGCCTCACATAAACTTTGGGCTTTGGCTGCTGGCTTTTCCTATTCATTTGTCCCAGCTCGAAAAAAGAGATGAGAGTTTGCCAGGATTGCAGAGAAATTGTATCTGGGCCGATTCTAGTTGCAGCTCGCCTTAAGTTGAGACTTGCTACCTTTTTGCTTGCTTGATGAAGCTGCGTATTACTTGCACACCTTTTCTAGCTGATGTACTTTTGGAGCTCAGGCCAAACAGTACACCTTTGGCATTGCAGTGGCATGGTCAGTCAAGCCAGATGGTACTGTGGAGGCAAGGCAAGAGCCCAACATCCGAACTAAAAGAAACGCACGATTGAACATTTTCAGAGCTTTGCCTTTGCTGCTGTGTTAAACTATTTTCACTGGATATATTGCAGGAGAGCAAGAACCTGGGTGTCCATGTGAAGCGTTTGGATGACAATCCAGAGGAGTTGCGCAGAATCGGTCCAAGCATTGGACTGGCTTAGAACTTGACGGCGCAGGAGTGCAACATTTCCCTGGAAATCACCATCCTGAATCGGCTCAAGAACTTTCACATGACTCTGCTGCTGACCTAGGCTTCTTATGAGCAGAGTTGACCAGTTGTTGAGCCTGTTGACCGTAGATGGCCGAATTTTTCAGACTCTTCGAGCCACCTTGGCCCCTCCCACTCCAAAACAGTTACAGTAAGGAGCCTTCCAAAAGCAAATCAAACCCTGATAACGTAAACTGCAGGAAAGGCGGTGTGTGACATTTTTCATTTTGTCTCAGGGTTTGAATTTGTCGCCTTCTCGTTTGCAAAGGTGTGATCCTACATATCATGGGATTTCGAGTCAAAAGGCCCCTGAAGATGCTTTGTGGACAGATGCTGCAAACCCTATTTGAGCGCTTCAAACGCAAAGCAGAAACATTTCTTTGAATGCGTGTTCTTGTGCTGTGGCTTCTTGGCAGGCCCGGGGATGGTCACGATCCTTCGACATGCCTGATAGTCGGCGCCATGATGGTGTCAAGGTCTGGTGCCAAGCAGACCAAAGCGCTGAACCCTTGTCTTTTTTTGAAGTATTTTGATGTAGTTTCTTGTTCGTCGGTGCCAAAGATGACACTTAAACTTGGTACAAGTGTGTTGCAAGGGCTTACCTTTGTCCGACGTCTTTGACCACCAGGCAGAGCACAGCACAGCTATTAGATGCGTGGGAGTCAACCTGATGGCTTTTTGAGGCAGGCTGGCTTCATAATGGGCCTTTACGAGTGGTGGCCAAGCTGTCTGTCGTATTCCCGGTAGACCATGACGAAGAATGATCAGATCCATTGCAGCTTTTGCTCCGGATAAAAGTCCCAATGCTGAACAAGCTGCTGTGCACATTCTGAGGTTGTAGTCAGCTTCGACTCTGGGGTTGTATCTTCCAACGAGGCACTTAGAAAGAGGCAAACAATGTTCATGCTGTGGAGCTCTTTTGCACAAGCAATCCAGGCAAGCGGTCAGCAAGAAGTTTGCCAGTCGCTTCAGGACAAACGTACAAGACAACACCTGAACAATGCTTCCTGCCAAATGAATGGAGAAGCTTCACGAGGCTTTGCTACAAAGTGGATCCATGGCAGATGTTGCACTCAAGGCATGGATCTCCAGCTTCAGGTTGCAGTCAACTGTCAATGGCCCAAGGGCTTTTTTATTGTGCAAATTGCAACATCCTCCAACACAACAATGAGAACCAGTTGTCTTTTTGCTTGCCCTCACCAATTTACAAGGAAAACTACGTTGCACTGAAACATGCAGTTAACTATGCATCGCGCGGCTTGTACATCTGAGAGAATTTCGCAGGTTGGCAGTGAAGAAATCCAAGCTCATTCAATTATTCTTGGCGCTCGATCTCCTGTCTTTGAACGCATGTTTTCTTGCCACCGGCTTAGATCGTCGAAGGGGGTGTTTGCCAGTGGGTGCCTTCTTGACTGTTTAGCGTACCACTTTAGATGCTATCACCAAGATCTCATTCACAGCCGCGTCATGATCAATTGAGTGGAGTAATTATAGTTCTTTCCGCAAGATGAGTTGATGAGGTCCAATGAAAGAGAAGAAGGACAAGGAAGTTCACATACAGGCAGATCGGCTGTGGAACCTTCTTTGTTTCAGCCTTTTGGCACCTGATGTGCTTCTGCAGGATTTAGAGGCTGCTCCAGTCAAAGCATTAGCCTTCAGCTAAGGATCAAGTCATGTACTCCGAGCATATAGACGATGTGAACTTTCTTTGTGATTTGGCCAATCCGTAAGGTGAAATATCTCTACACTGGAGTCGTGGATCAGACCTCACTGGACAACGACAATCTTGCACTAAGTCTACTTGAGGCGAGTTCGGATCAGGTTGGAAAGCACAGACAGATGACGACACGTGGAAGCATGGCGACTCCGGAAGAGAAGAAAGAAGTAGGTAAGGGCCCAAGGGCCGTTTTAACAAGGTCCCTTTAAAAGGGACCCTTACCTTGTGCTAATTTGTCAGTATTCTTATATTCTGCTTTTATTATTCATGCATTCTTTATTCTTCCCTTTTTTTAGCCAGGCTGCTCACCGCTACGAAGTGCCTGGTCTGGTTGAGCGCTGTGTCCAGGCCGGTTCAAGCGCTGCGTTGAAACGGGCTGCGACGTTGTTTTCTGGAACGGCTAAAAAGGCCGGAGAGAAGCCTGCAGCTTAACATCTCAGGTGATTGTCACGCGCTTCAAAGTGGAGACCGTGGCTGAACGTTTGGAGATGGCAGATATGATTGGAAGCAAGTATTTCAAGGTGGGGACTCCGAAGGCTACAAAGACCGTTCAAATGACACTTGATTCTTTTGGTGAGACTGCTGAAAGCTAGGTGCTTGGCCTGAAATGTGTAGAAGGATTCTTACTTCGCAAAAAACAAGACTCTCTTCCGTTCCAGAGCAGCCTTCGTACGCACGCAGCGCAAAATGCATGTCTTGAATTGCAGCATGATGCAATCACGGCACCTCACAAATCATTAAATTTATGTGTTGGCAGTCCAATTGTTTTAGAGAACAATCGAGTTGCATCCAGCTTCAACGTGTTCCTTTTGATCAGTTGACCAGCATGACTTGTTCTACCTATGCTTGATTCACTCTCATGTCTGATAGAATTGCAATTTTGCAGTCCAGCCCATGATCTAAGCAGCTTTTCATTGTTTTGTTGGTGTCAATACTGTAAATGTTGCTCGACAAAACAAGGCTCAACAAAGTAATTGATGCCTACACTGCCTACACAAACTTGGATAGGCAGCATGGTGAAGAAAGGATACAACAACAAAATGGCCAAGTATGCATGTTGGGTCTGGCTATAGGCTTAGGGTTGCGTGAAGAGAGGAACATCATGCATGCTAGTTTGTTTGTGTGTACTATGTCACATTCAAGAGAAGACTCCAATGCTCCAAAAAGATAACCGGAACGCCTTACTTCTGAAGTTTGGCGAGGAGGGGTAATAGTGTAGACGGAGCTAGGAGGTGTCCAGGATCAATTTTGCACGAGGATTTTGGTAGAAGCATTTGGTCTCGGTTCCTTGTTAGATAGCTTTCCTGTCCCTGAAGGCTCAATGCTTGGAATATATCCAGGCACATTTGGTAGACGTTCAGGCAACCGATGTCATGGCCTAAGACTCCAGACTCCAGACCACGACATTTAGCTGTACTTCATTCCTGGGCTGCACGTTCAATGCTCTTTCGCCTGGCAGGGCGATATGATCAAATTTCACGGCTTCTCAACAAGTATATAGTTGCGGACAACCACTTAGAACATATTTTTTTTCCAAAATTCCAGACCCTGCACTTAGAACATGTCAAAACCATACACTTAGAACAGCAGCCAGAAAACAAGAATCCACACTTAGAACATGGGCAAAAACATACACTTAGAACATTGTTTTTCTGCAATTCATCAAGATCCTTGCGTGGTTTTCCTCTTTTGCTTCTGCCTGTTTGATCTTGTCTTGAAACACAGCTGAGAGTCGGCTCTCTGCATATCCCAATGCATCTCAGTTGGATGCCAAA